TAGTCGTAGTTATAATAGTAGTGATTTGCTAATCGCCTCTCATATGGCAGTGGTTACCTGGCAATTGCTGTGGTAATAGTTATTGCTGGGTCATTAGGAGGAATAGCATTGATCGTGATGATTTTTGCGGAGTAAACAACACCATTATTATCATTATTATTTTTATAATTAGTGTTATTATAAATATGATATAATTATTATTATCATAAATTTGTATATATATATTTGTTTACTATAACTAGTAATATTATTATCATTATTATTATCAATATTGCTATTTTTATTGTTACTATGTTCATTATTATTATATATATTATAATCATCATTTTCACCATTATAACTATGACTAGTATGATTATTATCATTTATTTACTACTACTACTATTACTTCTACTGCATGTACTTTTATTTACCCTGTTGTAGCGCCCAGCAGAATAATCACTTGTAGTCAATCTACGATCGTTTAATTTACTCCACTCAGTTTTTAAACGGCTATCTGCTTAAATGAGTTCGGTTAAGTTTACTTATAATTTGCTTGCATGTAAATGGTGACGGTTGGATTGCTGTCCATTTAGTTGGAGGGTATGTGATTATAACAACTGATTATTACAAATCAAACCATTTTTTCTTCTAATTTAGACATGCTAATTAACTTTCGGTTTCTTGATCACATTGCTTTACCGTGATTCACGGAGTACAAAACGACTTGCACTTTGTTCGGATCAATGAGGTTGGCACAATGGGGAATCTTCAATCTAACAGGTTTCTCTGATACAAACTGTAATCCTGACGGAAGACACCGGAAGCCATAAGTAACAAGCGTCTCGTCGTGTCTCAGGGTGATTTCAGGTGGGACGTCTGTGAGAACATCTAACGTTATCGTTTTACCAGAACCCTCTGGCAATGCACCGTGAGGGATGGACAGAGTGAGTCCGTATGACGGAATATGTAGCTCTCCTCCGGTTTGGTCAAAGATCCCTTCAGAATGGTATTTGCCTACGGTTAAAAATTATTTGTAACATTATCAACACATGTATCAATTATGATGCGAGGAGATCTTACCTTTGGTACTTTGAATATTTAATGCATGGTGTATTGAAATAATTTCAATAAACAATTTTTAAGAAATTTATTTTTAAGGGAAATTACTCCTAGTAAAATTAATCTCCAGGACTTTTGGAGGCCTATGTTTTTTGCTAATGTGAATCTGCCAGTGATATTGAGGGTCGTCGTTGTTTCATTTGAATTTATTTGAGCTAATAAACATATATATATTTCATGTTCCTTTTAAATCAGTACAGCACTAAGTTCGGGGTGACTGTTATTGTGTTATAGTATTCCAAGGAGTTTACAGCGTCAGGATCATACATTATTGTCATTCGAATTATGTGCATGATGATATAAGTTTGTTAGGTGATCAAGTAAAATATTTTCAATTCGATTCAAATATTCATTTTATTCTCGATACGAACAACATACGTATGATATTATACACAACAGAGTAATACCAATACAACTCAATACAGCACAATTAGAACAACAAAGCAAATTATTGATTTTCTTAACCAAATCTTTGTCAAATCATGGTTTAGTGACACATTTCTTTTTAATAGTTACCATTTTTAAAAGGAAAATATGCATTATATGAGATACAAAATATATTTTAAAATTAGTTATAACAGATAGTAGGGTCCGTCTTATCCAAATTCCAAGATATTCTCATCAAACATATATACAATTCCCTAAAGCTAGCTTCATCAATTTTTCTCTGTAAAAAGTCAAGTTTTCAGATCATTCGGAATTACCAAAGTAATCCAGTATATATTATGGTATTAATTCTTGTTGTGGACTTCTTCTCTGTGATCAGCTTGATCCAATTTAGTACTTAGTACTTATCTTTTTTTTTTATATACTCTGTCGCTCATATAGGTAGATACAAATCCTCTGTGTGCCCATACCTTGAGCCATAATGCATGGCCGTCCACAGGATTTTTTATGTTGGGGACCGGGGTAAAATGCAATAAATTATTGAAAATTTATTGCATTTTTTTTTTATTTATGGAAACTGCCCCCTAACCTAGCCCCCGCTGCGTACAGTCATGGTTCAGTGACAAAGCAATGGCCTCATAACTGTGAGGCCCCAGGATAAAAACCGTGTCGATGTGCTATATTAGTGCCCTTTTGTGGGGCATTAATCCTCATTACTGTCATTTATGACTTAAGGGCGTATGTCCCCTAGTAGATAAGCATAGTAGCATACACATGCTTTAGCAGTCACGCAAAACACATTATTATTCAAGTAAATCTGAGAATGTATACTATTATCTAGATCTATTATTTTTAAATTATTTTTTAAATAATTCCATAAATTGGGGTAAAACAAAAATATTCCAACTTTATGAGCGACAGTGTATATGGAACAACTCAGTCGAGATAGTGAAGGAGTTAATCATTGAATTTATAGTATTCTTGTCATTGAAACCTGTTGTTTAGAAAATATGCATAATTCTTTAACTGTTGGTTAATTCATACACCAGTGAAATGTTCGGTATTCTTGTTGTATTTTCATACAGGTTCTTTTCTTCAATGTTTATCATTTTGACAGGAGGAAAAAGGATAATGAAACATCGTGCCAATGATCTGTTGTTCAAATTAGTTCCTGTCTTGTACAAACGATTAAATGTTTTAGATGTTAGACTAACTTCACTTGCGTTTACTGCCGTATTGATTAAACCTACAAATCATTCTACATCACATTTACTTTCAATAATATTGTTACTAAAAGTTGTCATATTGGGGCATATATATGTAGGAATTCTTTATAAAAATTCAACCTCCAATTATTTCCGAAAACAATATATATATAGATATTTTTCAAAGAATGATTTTACAATAAAAGTAGACACTTATATAATATAACAAGGCATACACAGTCCTGTTTTTTCGTATTTTATTTGCACATTGTGGTATGGAAATTAAAATAAAATGCTATTTGATTAATATTGTAAACACGGTCTACTTACTGTACTTTGAACATGGAACATGTTTCATTTCTTTACTTGCCAATACTAAGATATATGTAATAATATTAAAGATATCAAGGGGATACTTACCTTCATATTCATGCTGCTTGTTAACACTCAGAGCTCTGAAAAGAAAGACCAATATTAATGATAACATTTTAGCACTGAGTATTCAGGTGGATTTTTGCATTCACTATACCCAACCTTTCGTAAATAAGGAGCCGTTAATCCTAGGAGATAAGGAGCTGTAATCAGAATATTTGGTCGGAGAGGTTTAAATAGTTTATAATAATCCGGGGTAAAAGTTTGCGCCGATGGTTTTAAAATTTCTATTGACCCCGTCATGACAATTTGGTCTCTTTGACAATTACTTTCTGGCCCAATCTGGCCATTTTGGTCACGTTTAGTCAGGGTCAGGCTTATTTTCATATCGTCAGTAAAGGAGCTTTGGTAGACCTGTTCTTTTTTTAAATGTGCCCTGATGGTACAAAAAAGAGGTCAATTCACCTCCATCAGCATAGGCAAACTGAGCTGCAGTTGAGACACCCGACTCGACCAAAATGACTTTCCAACATTACTTCATCTGGTCTTTGATTTGTCTGTCGTCTTAGCTAAGATGAAGTAATTATTGCTAAGGTAATTTTCTGAAACTAGACATGTTCTCAGACATTTTTGTAGACCTAAGACAGATGTTTGTTTTTTGTTTGAATTAAATACAAGCCCTGGTTTCAAAACATTCAATCCATTTACTCTGCCTGCAATTCTTTTCTTTCGATGTTGACCTAAGTATTTTATTCAATTAGATTAATTGTTCTGATGTTGCTGATATCAGCACATATTTTCATACGGTATTTCGACGTCAAAACTTACCTGTCAGTTGATTATAACTGAACTAAAAATAAGGTCTGAAAGTGGACAACATGCGAGTCTTTTTTTTTCTTGGGGGGGGGTCAATTTGATTACTTTTCTACCATCAGGGAACATATTTCCATAGCATAGGTTTATCAAATATTACGTTACGAGTCGTTATCCCTCTGTCAGCTTTCAAGGCCATTGGAAAATTCATCCCAGGTATGAAGGAATATATCAAATGGTTCCTCGCTACAACTTCGTTGTTTTCTTCGAATATTGGAAGACTTGTAATCCTTCATCTTTAAACGTTTATTTATATATTCATTAATCTTTAAACATTTATTTACGGTGTCATCAGACGGACATAGTGAAACAAATATGTAATTAAGTAGACATGGTCATTAGAAGGAAATGTTTGTGTCCTGTTAACGATTGAACAAAACAAATACTACTTTCTACGTACGTTTGCAGGTAGAGGAAACCTAAAGGGCTCCCCAAAAACAAAGTTTAATCATTAGTTAATAGTTTATTTAGTTATATTGTTTTGAATAAGGGTTAGGGTTAGGGTTAGGGTTAGGATTTATACACCAGGTTTGATGATGTCCAATCTACAATGTAGGGTTATATATAGATGTTCTGTTTATACAATAAGTTGGTATATATTTTTGTTTTATGGGGGAGGGAGGCGGAACCAAATATAAAGACCAACTTTTTCATATTGGTGTGGTTTTGGGGTTGTTGACCCGAGTAATCAGAAATGTTTTAATGTACATCTGGAAATGGACGATGTAATTTCTTCAAATTCTTACAAATCTTATTCTATCCATGTTTATTTCTCCTTCTTTTTCGTAAGGAGGATTCACTCATACACCTTTTAGTACAAATCTGGATTGTATTCATGATGGGCGTTGATAAAGACATTGCAATTCTCGTTTATACACTTTTGATCTACGCTGGAAGAAACATTTTACTGAAGAAATATTATTCCCTAAGTTCTTGCCTATCACATTAATGAGATCTTGGTCAAGTATAATCAAAAGGCCTTTTAGCGATTATGAATGAATATCTAACCTCTCTCTAGAAGTAGAAACTTCACCAGCTGCTGCTGATGCATCTTGAGGAGCAATGTCGACTGAAGTGGATGCCACCGGTCTCGGAGATTCGGTTATTCCTGATTGTAAGAGTGGGAAATTGTGTTAACTTCGTAAAAATATGTATTCATTATGTTCATGTTATTGCTCGTATAATTTTTGTTCATTACAAATGTAATTACACACATAATAATATATCAGTGATTCACATTGAGTGTTGTCACCAGCTCAACCAATCGTATAGTATTTTGTTATTCGCCTTAACGAGATGAGTTTAATTTTTGAAATTTTATATTGATTAATGTAACCCAAATCCGCACATTTCAGTGTCAATCCGCACATCAATTCCGAAAATTCTATGAAACGACATTTTGGCTATCAATCATTTTAGCGCGGAGGATTTCCGATGACGTCATATTTATCTACGCTTGGTTACAGATTGTCAGAAACTTTTCTTCCCTCACCCTCAAATATACATAGGATTTGATGTGTATTTGTGTTATTATGTTGCCTTAAAATTACCATACGGAGCCTAGCCACACTATCTAGTACACGGCGTCTCATCGAGTCCTAGATCCTGCCAAAGAATTGCGGTCTGATAGTCCCTGACTTTGGTTTAAAAATTGCTGCATATTTCTTTACCAGACTACGGTAAGTGAGAACAGTATAATAACTTTATAACTAGAGGCATATAAAAATATTCTAAGTTCGATAAGGGTCTAAATCTTAACAAAGAGAGAGTTAGATTATACGTGTGACGTGCCAGTACTACTACTACTACTACTACTACTACTTCTAGGTAGACATCATTATCATCAAGCTAGGCCTAGGCCTATACGGTAGTGTAAGGTATCATGTATAGCCTATACTATACTATAGGTCTCCCGGTCATATCAATCACTTGGTACATTAGTTTATAAAACAGTACGTGCATGCGTGGATGTCAGACAATCCTAGTTTACAAATTGTTTGTCTGACCAAAATGAATCCAAGCAGTGTTTAAATTAATTGATGCTGGTAGCAGTTACTAGAATGTAGAGACACTGTCACTTGTACAGGTAAAAGTTCCAAGACTAGATGACCCGTTTGTTAAAAAAAGACATATACCTACATGTAGATAGGCGCCTGCCTGGGAGATGACTTTAACAAGACATATTGAATTAGATCCAACGACTTGAGTAACGTAGGCCTGTATCTTTGTAGATAAACGTTTATACTTACGTTGCCAGGTCCAATTAGTCACAGGTTAGTTTAGAAAGTTAGTTAGACTCGGGATTTATCAGTTTGCTCTTTACCTGTAATCTATATACATGTAACTTAGCCTTATACTCTAAAAAAAGATACCCAATATTGGGTAAAATGTTACACTTTACGAGGGTAAAAAGGGAACATGCATGTTTGTTGGGTAAAATTTGACACAGGGGTGGTTGGGTAAATATTTACCCATTAAATGTTTAATATTTTACCAAACTGATGTGCAATATATTTGAATTAATTATGTGGAATTTCATGTCCATATTGAGAAGATTTACATACATTCATGCAAATAAATGCTGCGGAAAGAAACAAGTGCATGATCGTAGTCTATTTCGACCAAAGACGTCCATCTTCTGTTGATCTTGAACACGATTACGTAGTCGATGAACACTGCATGCAGCTGATTCGGAACGACCGACCACGCGCGCTTCAATCATAGTTTGTAACATCAGTTGTGTCATAATACCAACGTTTAGGTGTCAAAACTTGTGTTTACCCAACGCGTGGTTAAAATATTAATCTGCATCGTTACTTTCTTACCCTGGAAATGCGCTCAGTCGAATTTTGATATGACACTTTGGCAAGTGTAATTAAATTTCAGAGGGACTTCGTGTTTAGCACAAGGTTGGGTAATACTTTACCCAACTTGTTTAAACAGCGATTTTGCACAGCAAAATTTTGCACTCTATTTTTAGAGTGTAGGACGATTGAAAACAAACGTGTTACTCGTTCTTAATTAGCTTCTAGACTATATTTCGTTCCTGTTTTCACGAAGTGACGGTAGTGAGGAAAATCCGCACGCAAATTGTATGCGATTTTGATTCACTACCGTCACTTCGTGAAAATAGGGACGATTTGTACAGATAGCTAGTCGATGGTCATACTCATAGTCTAGACATACTCTAAGTGTTAGAAACTGGACTTGTTAATTCTCATCAAATCACTGTTTAACTGGAATAGAAGTACAGAGTTTGTTAAAGACTCGATAAAGAAGATCTATAAAGACTGTTTATAGATCTAGAGCTCGACCATGGCCTCTATTAAACGTAAACTAGATCTCAGTCTACTTAGAGTCTCTTCTAACATACATAAATATGTTTGTTTGGATAGATCTCAAACACTATAAATGAATTCCATCACGATATTCTCATCATTAAACACGACATCGTCATGTCGTGTAGCCTAGGTGTGAACGGTTTGTTGTGGTTGCCATCTAGCATGTCGTTTCACCATGTTGTTTTGTTGCATGGCGTGTTTGGAAGGGAGAAAGAGTGGTAGTTTTCAGAGTTAAAAATGTTGTTATATTGCCAATTCTGGGTCATTTTGCTTCGTTCGAACTTCAATTTTGGTCCTCATTTAAATTATGAGTGACTTTTGGACATGGAAACATCTCAAAGGTATAATTGAGTTCTGTTGCAGAGGGCGCTACACAAAATTATTTTGTTGTGAGATAATGAAAAACTGAGTGTCAAATTTGAAAGAACATACAGTTTAAATGACATAATCATCTTTGTTTGATCAAAATCGGCTTGGAGACAGCTGAAATATCCATAAATATAACGATTTCTAATACTTGTGTACCTCTACAATTATTATATAATTTGAACCAACAGTTGAAAGCCGTTGGAAAAACAAAATAGCGCCTTTTAAGTTGCCTATGTTGGCTTTTTTGTTGGCTTTTTCGTGTTGGTTTATTTGGTTATATTACGCACAACCAGCCGGCCCATGTATTGTTATAATTAATTAATTAATTAATTAACGGTCACTGTAATTTTTTGAAAGTGGAGCTGTTATGATCGTATTGGCTAAATTTGACACATTTGGGGGTCTAAAATTACCTTCATATCAATTTTAGAACCTAAAAGGACACTAGAAATGGCTTGGATAAGAATAAGAGCAATAACCATGTAATGCTAAATATATTACTCATTGCGGATATAGTATCGAAAATAATATCGCTAGTGATATTCGTTTGTCTCGCAATGTGGTCAATAAGGAATCTAAAAGTTCACGACGTTTCGTGTGCAACTGCAACACTTCATCTGGTGATAATAACTACTGTATGCAAGGGTCTTTTATACTCTACGGGAGGACCGGCGGAGCGGTCCATAATTCGATCGATAATTATGAGAAATTGACCGACTTATTGGAGTCTGGTCCGTATCGTGTATTAAAAAAAGATCCCACAGATCGCTTGGCTCGCAAGCTTACCAACACCTTGCTGAACCTAAAGAAAGACAATGTGATGGATGAACCGACCTATCGTAGACTGAAACCCACACAAAAGCAACCTCCTAGAATATACGGGTTACCCAAGATACACAAACCCACAGTACCATTACGACCTATAGTGTCATGCATAGGCTCCTTTGCCTATAACCTCTCAAAGTACCTAGCTGAAATTCTTTCTCCGCTCACCGGTTTGACTGAATATACGATTCCCATTTCGAGTGGTTTTGCAGAGCTCATAGCAGAGCAAACCATCGGTACTCAAGAACGCATGGTTTCGTTTGACGTAGTTTCACTCTTCACCAATGTACCGATTGAGGGCGCATGCAATGCTACATTGCAACGCTTACAATCAGACAGCAATTTGTCTACCCGTACCGCACTCTCACCGGAACAACTCACTCAACTCCTCGAGTTTGTTCTACGATCCACATATTTTCTGTATAAAGGTTCATACTATGAACAGACAGAAGGGGCAGCAATGGGCAGTCCAGTCTCGGCTGTCGTGGCCAACCTATACATGGAGAGTTTCGAAGAAGAAGCGCTGGACACATGTCCCCTCTCTTGCATGCTTCGTGTTTGGAAGAGATACGTAGATGACACCTTCATCATAGTTCCCATCTCTGAAACAGATAAGCTGCTTAAACACATGAATAGCCTTGAACCAACCATCCAGTTCACATCAGAGATAGAGTGTGAAGGGAAGATAGCATTTTTAGACACTCTAGTTCATAGACACGACAACCATAGGCTCTCCACCTCAGTCTATAGGAAGCCTACCCACACAGACCAGTACATAGCGTTTGACTCTCACCATCCCATATCGGTGAAGAGAGGTCTAGTGAAATGTCTATTTGACAGAGCTTCACGCATTGTGACAAGTCCACAACAGCCATGCAAAGAACGGACCCGTGTTCGCAGTGCCCTGAGTCTCAACGGTTACCCACGCCGTTTTATACACAATACCAAGAATAGATCGTCGGAACCCAGGGATCAGAAGGTATACAAGACTTTTACAGTCTTGCCGTACATTGATGGGGTCTCCAAACAACTCAAGCGCCGCCTAGAGAGCCATGGCATTCGAACGGTTTTCAGATCAGATACCACCCTACGTCAACAACTTACACGCCCCAAGGATTCAATTCCTCCACATAGACGGGACGGCATTGTGTACAACATCCCTTGTAAAGGATGTGATAGATCCTACATCGGTGAAATTGCCCGTCCGATAAAAGAAAGAATCACTGAGCATAAGAGGGACGTCAGACTCCGTCGAACTGACAACTCAGCCGTAGCCGAACATGCTTGGGATAACCAGCATCAACCAGACTGGGACGGGGTTCAGTGCCTTTCCCAGGAACGGCATTGGTATACACGGAGGGTGAAAGAAGCTATCAATATCCGTCTCAATCCTAATAATTTCAACAAAGACAACGGGATCGATATCCCCGAATTTTGGATGCGGACGATACGCCGCCATGACACTCGCCGTCCTGCCAGCCAACACCGGTCGATTCCATTCAGCAGACAGTCCGAGCCAGCGGCCCGTTGATTGGTTGAGTACCGTATGCGTCGGCCAATAGGCCTGGTGCATTAGCCGAACCAGCGGCCGAATCCAGCGGTCTGGTGATTGGTCGATCACCGTGTGCGTCGACCAATAGGCATTGTGCGTTATTGTTCCAATTATCGATCGAATTATGGACCGCTCCGCCGGTCCTCCCGTAGAGTATAAAAGACCCTTGCTTACAGTAGTTATTATCACCAGATGAAGTGTTGCAGTTGCACACGAAACGTCGTGAACTTTTAGATTCCTTATTGACCACATTGCGAGACAAACGAATATCACTAGCGATATTATTTTCAATAACCATGTACTTTGATTTGTATTGGTCCCCAATACAAATCGTCCATACTGTATTTCATTTTCAGTTTATCTAATTTTAATTTCATTTATATCAATTATGTCTTATTTAATATATAAAAATTATTAATGGCCTTTAGTAAACCTAGATCGACACCACTTTAGAATAAGAACAGCTAAGCTCCTTCCTTAAATGCTTTACCTTGGAAATGTGTGTTGAATTTGATCATCTGTGTAGTAGTTTGAACCAAGCTAAGCGTCACTAATGTCTCATCACTCCTCTCGGTTAGATTGAGTGGAAAGTACTTTATCTCTTTCGTTTTCGAACTCAAATCGCTGTGCTGAATAGCCTGACGAGACTGCCAGATAATAACAAATGATCATGCATGATTGAATGAAATATGCACTAAAACATGCATGATGAAAATAAAAACAAAAAATAAGATTTTCCGTCTTTTTAAACATTTTTTTCCAATCAATTCCATAATTTTGCATGTAATTTCGTCAAAGTCGATTAAATATCGTCACCCCCGGCCGCCAACCTGCAGTTGCATGAATTTATTTCGTTATGTACGTGTATGTCTATAAACAAATCTTCGTAAAGTGTGTTAAGTTCTCTGTCACTTTGTTTTTAAATATTCTCCTTTTGATCCACCTTTGATCATGATTATTCCCTGCTTTAACAATACGAGAAAGCAATTGTACACATTTAATTCATTTTACCAATGACATGTATGAATGAATTCGATCATCATATTCTGTAGCAATCCGTCAGGGTAAACACTTTCATATGTAATTTGCTGAAAATGAATGCAAAGGCGTTGAAATCGATAACAATCGTCCAAATTGAATGACAAATTACTTATTAGTTTTAACATTAGAACGTTCTCAGATTCGGAAAAAAGTTCTAAAATGGCCAGGAAATCCTTAAATATAATAATATATTGTACATAAATAACATCACATATGTCAATTGTAGCTGTACTATCAGTCTCCTCGTTCAATTTAAATTGTATCACCATACGAAGAAAATTTAGTACATTAAAAGTGACGCATGTGTTAATATAACCACGATATAAGAAGCATTTTTACCATATACTAGTTTTGTATTCGGGTATATATGGTGTCAAAGACCAGTTGGTATTGATACATAATTTTAAAAAATTCAAATGTTTGTTAGTAAAGCCACACTGTTCTACTTGTAGCTACTTGCTCCCTCTATGTAGAAAAAAATGCCTAATCGGTGACCATTGGTCCCCCACGATCATCTTTTTCTTATGTTAATTTAAAGCTGAGTTGATGACATAGCCACCTGCCAGTGACCACCCTGGGCGGTCTAATCCCTCCTAGCCAAACAAGTACAGACGGACTTTAAGATATGAATGAAGCAAAACGAATTGGTTTTTTTTGGACTATTAAACATAAATTTGAATTTTTCTCTTTCCAGCTGGCCCTTGTTTCAATTTATTTTAACTAAGTATGGCAATACCTAGACCCGTCGTCAAAACACACTTACATCTGTCTCGGGACTCGTCTCACCAAGCTGGCAAGAGACTGTTAGGGTGCTCCGCCGAAACACAACATAATCGTCCTCGTCCTTGACTGGGTGTGAGAAACTGCTTCCCGTTAATGCATGGGCATCATTCTAGAAAATCATGTATCCAAAAAGAGTTTTGATAAATTTATCTGGAAATTATCAAGTAGATAGAACTCATTTTTACATTTGTATCACATGTCTTCTCTCGGGTTTATATCATTTCAACTACAGTCCATCCCGCGCAGGAATCGTTCTACAAGATAGTATGAGATTCCAGGTGTCCAGGATTATATTTAGATCAGTTAAAATATGCTTAAGCTGTCAGAAAAGTAGGAAAACCAAAATGGCGTCTGAAACGGCAAACCGTTGAGAGATACAGCTAGAACAGTATAGAGCTTGCTTATCACCGTAGAGATGTCACAGATAAGTCTAATAGTATATTCAGGCTTCAGGATATTCATTATTTTGTTCAATTGATATTATCAAAGTAGAAAAGTTACAGGGTATTGTCTGAAATGCAAGATAGCAGTCAATTTTTTTATTAGACCAAGCCCAATAAAAATGTACGAACATGAAGAAAGAAAAAAGAGAAAAAAAGAGAAAAATCTAAACAAAGGGAAGGTAAAGTTTTGTTTTTAACATAGAAATATGTGTGGTTACAGAAAAGAATTTGCCTCATCCCTTACATTCAGACAAGGCTCGAAGAATGTTAATTTGAGACAGAAAGATTTATTGGAGAATGACACTTACCAACCATCGACCCCAGTGTGACTGCCTGAATTGATCAAGCTTAAATACATCAATAAAGGTTTTTTAAAAAGTTGTTGTATTGCCCTTTACGACCGACCCCAGAATCTTAAAATATACGGTCGGCTTTTTATCATTTATTCTAAACCGCTTTTTAAAGAAAAAAATGTTTAATGAATTAAAAAAATGATTAAAGCATTCAAAACTGAAGAAAAAAAATCAGCCCAAAGAAGGAAGATTTTTTTTATTTGTTAAAGTCGACCGACCGACCCAAGTAATGGCACCTAAAGGGTAATACAACATTTTTTTTTAAAGGCCTAATGGTGTTTCACATTTACATTTACCCTGTTTTGTTCATGAAGCATCTTGACGAAACGGACTTCAAGAACAGGATGTCTATTATAAGGCAAGACTCTAGGTAGAAACGACATGCATGACAGTAATATGCCCTTCAGAAATAGCAAGTCCCAAATTAAGGCAAAGTACCCTCCAGAAAAACGGCTGATTGAGACGTCTAGCCACCGTTCTTGTACTGAACAAATAATGTCAGACGAATGAGGAAGTCGCTTAGGTGTACCTTCGAAATTACAAAAACGAATTCATTTCAATGGAAAATGACGGGAAAGGACTGAAATATCAGGGACTTTTCTTAGCTAAGTAAGGTTAAAGGTATAGACCAGTTCTGGTCATGCGATTGCATTGTGAAAGAAACGTTATGGAATTGATCAGAAAAGGTTGATCATCTAGCATGACAGTATTGGTGTGTACTGCAAGGTTATGGAATTATCAACATGAAAAGAAATTTGGCCCAGTCTTGGTAAAGCTACAAGCACTGTACACAGAAAGATGTAAACGGGACTAACCTATATCTATCCAGTCCGGATAGATATAATGATTTACCAAATATATCAATTAGTAGGCGGTTTCCCGGCAAAATTATCACGTATTAGTGAAAACATATTCTTTCACATGATTGGTAATAAGAGCTTACATTTCATTTTTCCAGAGGGGGGGGGGGGCGTTTCCAAAATTGCTCTTTACCTTTAGCCTAATTTCACATCGTGTTTTTGTGACTGGAATACAATTCGAACGTTAAAGTTACAATAACAAAAACAAACACAAAAACACGATAAACTCCCATCGGTTAAACATATTTGTGGCTTACATCTAGTAAATTAGATCGATTGATCGATCCATAATTAAAAAAAACGTCGGAACAGATTTTTGAGCCAGCGGGATTTGAACATTAAACATGTTTCAATTACAGATCTTATTTACTGTGTGTGAGCCACAAATAGGTTTAAGCAATTTAAATTTCTCCCAGGAACAATTAAATTTTAATATTAAAGATCAACTCCACAAACAATTACCTTTGGCGACTATGAAGATGTAATATTGATATATTTTCAATTCAATTCAATAAACATAATTTCCTGCACAAATTCAAAATGAACATTCCAAAACATATTTTTTCTTGTAATAATATTTCTGTCGAGTAACGTAAAAATCTCCCACATACTTATATAAAGGCTAGGCCTCAATCTTTAATGGAGGAAATTAGAATTCTAATTTCTGATCACCATGTTTACTTTATCCTTATACCAAGATTAGCCACTGTTCAATTTTCTTTGGCAATTCGTGTATAAATAATGTATTGCATTTAAATTAAAAAAATGTCGGGTAAGCGCCCCCGAAACCTCAGAAACTGTTTAAAAATATCAAACTAATTGGGGATGTAAACATCATAATAAATGAATCACGGCATGTACGTGTACATGTATTCACCGTTTATAATGCATGCTAATTAATGTTAGGCTTCATTAAATTAATGGACATCCTAACATAATTCTATGTTTTGGCAACATCGCCATTCCTCGGGCCGTGTTTGGTAACGTTTGTGTTGACATAAATAAGACGAAACAAACAATCAACGTTAAGGTTTTGATAAATTCCACTATTACATTTGTTACTTATTGTCAAACTTAGTCAATATGAGGTCACGAAATGATATCCAAGTTATTAAACGTTTCGTAGGACCATTCTTAATGTATCTTAACGTTTCTTGTGTAATGAGTTCCCAACTGGTATTGTAGATATTTTTTGTGAACTTGCTATTTTTTTTTTAGCGTGGACGTATCCGATATCGCAATCTGAAAATTGGAGAATGGGCATTTATCTTCTGTATGTCATATTTTGTACTAAAAGTTATAACAATGTTTATCAAAGTCCGTCAGTGGCGGGGTTTGGGGAGTTGTGTATCCCTACATTAATCATGTTATATGATGTAGAGTCTGTAGTGCCAATGATGACCTCCAACTCCAACCAAAACAAAACAGAAAATCGAGAAAACAAGCTCTTAAAATACAAAATAAGCCAAACTCATTCCATAATCATTTTGCCTCATTAG